AGTAATTTTACTAAAACAGCCGTAATTTCATAACCTGAAAAATTTAACTATATTATGACGATTATTGACAAAATATATATACACTATAGGTACATGTTTATATGCATTGTATTGGTTAATATAATAGTATGTATGATGTATCTAACTATCTACCTAGATGTTAATTTTTTTTAGGAATTATAATTGCACATTTCTCAAAATGTTCATTGTTATATTATATCACACAATAAATACATATCATATTTGTTTGTATGTATATTGTATATAGTTTGAACTTTGCGTAAATTATTTCGTAAGTTGTGTGATAGGGTTTTAACTTATGAGGACGCCACACCCGCATGTGTTGTCTCCGTCTTACAAATGTACAACATAGCAAAAACTCTTTTGCGAGGGACAACTTTTCTCGCACCATATTTGTTGTAGAACTACCAAATTTTCAAAGCACTTAAAGAAGAACTTTATCTGTCTAACAGCGTGCTCTTTTTTTCAATAACATATATACAATACAAGTTATTTGCTTTTAAACATTTGTTTTTTTAATTTGCTTATAAAAAATGATTGGATGGTGCTATTGAAAAAAAGAGCACGCTGTTGCCATAGGCGCAAATAGCGTTTGAGATTTGGGGGGGCTGAAGCCCTAGGTACTGAATGAAGCATTTATACAAGTATTTAACACCTAAAAATTTTTTTTAGTACAACATAGGTATATCTTATACTGCTTACTTAATTACAATATTGACTGAAAATAAAACTTACTAAATATTTTTTTCAAATGTGCTATTTCATCTACTTATAATAGTTGTCAAAATTATATTTATAATTATACATTATACACCACATAACTTTTAGGAAAACAATAGGAATTATTAATACTGTATGTGTGGCTTTAGAGCAACAACTAACAAGTAACAACAAACTAATATAATTATAGAACAAATTTTTATTTAAAAAAAATGTGCCCAATACATTTTTAGAGCTGTATTCGTCGGTTGGATTTAGCAAATGTGTTTAATATTATTTCAGTATCTACTATAATATCTTTTTCGATATTCAATATTGCTAAATTAGTAAATCAGCCCTGAGTCATGTTAGCTCTGACATATGTGTTGATCCGTCTCATAGTTGAAAAGGACCTTTCACAAGTGGCCGAGCTCACTGGTAATGTTATTGCCACTTGCATAATTTTAAATAAATTAGGAAATACTTCTTCATTTAGATGTTTTTTGATATTTTCAAAATTGACTTCTTTCATCATGTTTTTCATTACATTAATTTCACATTTTAAGTTTGAAGAATTGATATCAAAAGTATCCTGTACGGCTGTACACAAATATACAAACAAAAACAAAGTAGTTTAAAAAAAAAACCATGTGTGTTACCAGTACGAGCGTGGGAAGTTAAACTTCTTTTGAATGGTACACGTGAGTGAGTGAAAAAGAAAGAAAAAAATATTAATTAATTTTAAAAATGAGAAGAAGTATCCAGAATTATTTATTATTGATAGTTTTATTATTTTTTTTTTTGATTTTTATTCCACAGATCGATGGATAATTGTTTGTAGTATTGTTTTTATCCAGACAATAGATTTGTGAGTAAATACTAATAATAATAATAAAAACAAATAATAATCGATCATTAATTATTCATATTAATTAGTATGGCCCGATTATAATATATAATACTAGCTGATCCCGTGCACTTCGTCGCCGTTTAAATGTATCAACTCAATATGAGTTATGGACTCAAACTTTGTTCAATTCGTTATTCAATATTCGGTGTATGGTGTTCAAAATGTATCTTATCTTTTCCGTTGCCCGGAATAAAAATTCTGAATCGCAGCAGTACATTATCAGGTGCTGTTTGTACGGAAGTGTATGATTTAACTCTAAATTATCAAAGTTATACCAAGTTTATTTTGATATAATACGGTGGATTAATATAACAAATTTGGTTGCTCGTAAAAAATCACAACTCTTAAAAAAATTATGATTGTTGAACTCCTTTTGGGTGTAACTTGCTGGGGTAAGTGCAACTCAGCCACCCTGGTAGGCAATGTTCAATAATTTGATTTGATGCAAGCTTGTACCTGATCTGCCCGAATAACCAATGGCAACCAATAAATAAATGCTAATTTCTAATGTAGACTGTAACCAATGGCAACTATTAATAAATAAAAATAAAATTTCCAATTTCCATCTTGAATCTCAATGTCCCTGTTTGAGCACCTATTTAAAATGCGAATTTCGAAAAATCCTTTCTTAGCGCACGTCTACATCATATATGATATAATATTATATAATAGCTATCTGTATGCCAAATTTCAGCCAGATCCGTCCAATGGTTTGAGCTGTGCGTTGATAGCAGTCAATCAGCTTACTGTTTTATATATACAGATAATATATAATAAAACAACATTACCATGACAATATTTATTTATTTACGGACATGTACGCTTTCGCGTTCGTACGGCCGCCCGTTCGCTTTTTTTTTCCTCACTACCGTGCGTAAAGAAGTATAACTTCAAAAGTATTTGTCAAATAGAATTCATAATTTATAAATATTGCTCAAATACAAGTTACAACGTACTTTAGACTCCCTTTAACAATAGACTCCGTAATAAGAATGCTTATTATTCTTAGTTCTTGGTAGGTATTATGGTTTATGGCTACAAGTCTACAATAATAATAAAAATTAAAAATAATACCATGACAAATAAAATTTGTTCATTTACGAATTAGGTAGGTACATAATCTTAAAAATACAAACACGAATTTTGCATCATAAACTATAATAATACTTAAATGGCTTAAAAAAAATCAGAAAATGTTTGGGAGGGCTATTGAAGTGTTTGGGGGGGCTAAGCCCCTAAAGCCCCCCCCTATTTGCGCCTATGGCTGTTGCACAGATAAAGTTCTTCTTTAAGTGCTGTGAAAATTTGGTAGTTCTACAACAAATATGGTGCGAGAAAAGTTATCCCTCGCAAAAGAGTTTTTGCTATGTTGTAAATTTGTAAGACGGAGACAACACATGCGGGTGTGGCGTCCTCTTATAGCCGCTTGACGTCGGGTCTGCATCCACCGCAGGTGGATTGCCTACCTAAGTGGCTAACTTGAAAGTTAATAGATTTTGACTTGAGATGACTGACTTGCTAGAAACTCCAACACGGTTTTCGACTTTTCACTTTTTACATAAAATAAAGCACCGGTCATGCTACGGCACATACCACTCTATGTGCAGGTATACTCTATATAGATTATAGGTGATCTTGGAGATCGTATCCAGCCTATCCATTTACAACGCTTGTGACGGATTGCTAGACGCTCAAACTTTTAACATTCCCGCCAAAGCGTCTAGCATTATCTCCAATCCATATCACTAATCCTTATCACAAATCCTAAACTTTCGTCTTACAACCTTTGCGACTTTTATAATTCATTGTCTCCAAAATCGGTATCCACTCCCAGCGAGTCCAACGCGCCCCGAGTTACACTTAGAGCTAGTTTAACTATATTATGACGATTATTGACAAAATATCAGTTATTATTAAAAAAGTATATTTTGTCCACTTCAATTATTATTTTATTGTTATAGCTAATAATATTTTGCGATATGTTTTACATATTTATACGCCTATTATAGGAATTGAAAAACAATTTTCTATAATTTTTTGAGTATTTTCACATTCAAAATATTGACTTTTACCAAACTATTTTCATTTTTGAATCTCTGTGCAACATCCTCTTAAGAAGCAAGTTTTGTAATTTTTGAAACTGTTCATTTGTTGAACATTTTAAAATGATCAAAACTTACTTAAAAATAAAATTAATTAAATCCTCCGAGATGCCCCCGAAAATAATTTCACTTCTAAATTGTATCATGGGTTAATTCATTCTAGTTAATTTCAGAGTAAAATAGATTATGGTTGTTGTACAATTTGATATGTTGCATGTTTTTTAAGACGGAGACAACACTTTCTGGTATGGGGTTCTCTTAAATCTTTAGCCTATGTATTAGTATTCTTGAAAATTCCCTATCAGTGTTTAGATTGCAAGAATTTTAGTTGAGTGTTAAGTAATTTTCAAATACTAAACTAAAAATATAACAAAATAGATTAACTTAACTGAAATTCTTTACCCAACTACTAGACTCAAATAACCAATTGTTTAACCAATTTAGACCAAACTCAAATACGCTTAGATACTAAAATACTGTAAGTCTGAAATAGGCTTTTAGAGTATGATAAAATAGATATACAACAGATTAATTTTGGCATGGCTAAAAAATTATAGAAATGGTCTTACAAGATTTTCTACAATATAAAATGAATTGTTTTTATAGACCATGATCACAACCAATATCCGATACCACAAATGTTTCTCAATTTTTGCATTGATTACTTTTAAAGCAAATATTATGCAAAATATGCTACAGGTGAAGAAAATATTTCAAATATAAATGAGATGCAAAAGCCCTGAATCTAATATTTATCGCTGTGTCTATACGCCCGACCATGGTCGGTAAGATAAGGTACTCCCGACCATGGTAGGTAAAGGTGCCAAATTTAAAAAAATTAATTGAGAAAAACACTGTAAAACCACCAGACAACTGTGGAGAAAAACACTGGACAAATAACTGTAGAAAAAAATACTGCAAAAACAAACCACTGTGGAGTAAAACACTGCAATAATAGATCGTGGAGAAAAACACACAAGTAAAATAAGAAGAGACACAGCGAATATTTATAGTTAAAATCTTATAGTTGTATTCATTTCTTTCAATTTATTATTCTTAACAATATGTAGCAGACATTTTTTCCTCTCCAAAAAAAAAAAAAACACAAGATTTAATTTTTAATTTTTAATTTAGGCGAACTATGAAGGTATTGTATTATATTTAATGAGCAAAAAATGTAATACTAAAAAACTTGTATATACTGTTATTATTATTTTAATATGGTATAAAATAAACAAATTTTGATACAAAAATATGAATTTAGTAACTTAATGATCATAGGTATTACAAAAACTAACTAACAAATTGCCATTTTTACACAAAATCGCATCACAATTTATAACATCTCCAGGACTAACATTTCGATATTTATTTAAAAAATAAATCCTTTGTCGAGCATAAGGATACCAATCTGAGTTATAGATCTTTCTGTTTGAAGCGCCAAATGAGAAACATACGTCTGTATCCAAACACCAATCTACCCAACAAACAAGCCCATGACAAATACCTTTGCTGTAAACAGAATAAATTCATAATAGTAAATAATTAACACACAAAAGAGTGACTATTATAAAAGTAATCAACTAGATAAAAACTAAATGAGATTAAAATATATAAACGTGTTAAAAAAAAATGAAAGAAATTTGATTAAGAACATAGTAAACACTTTAAGCAAAGTTAATTCGATCATTTAAAAATTACTAGTGCAAAGTTTATTTTATATTAATATAAATACCAAATTTAGTTATTTACTTTTTAATTTGTACAGTTAGTAAGTTTTTGAGTATCAAACTGGATTCATTAGCAATGTTTTCAAAATTCAAAGTAAACAAATCATAAGCATTTGAAAGGCTTTTGCTTGGGTATTCCCACAGCGGCTTTTCTTCCAGTAGTCCATCTGATATTTTTATGCTCTCCTAAAGCAATACATTACACAAAATACCATGATTACAAATTGTATTGATTAAAGTAGATCCATGTCAAACTAAAGTAAGAGGGAATGTAAAATGCTTATCAAAGATAAACTATCATTAATGCGGTCAATTTAGACAATTCCAATTGTCGTAATTTAACATTGTTCACATATCCTAAATGACGCCAATTGGCATTGTTTACCTTGTTATTCAATGCACTACCTTGGTCAGTATTACAATTAAACTATTCATTATTTGTCAGCATATCTCGTAAGTATTATTCATACCTACATGTAAGTTATACATCAATATTTAAATATTTTTTTTTTAAGCAAATATTTTATAAATTATACAATTAATATGCTATGCAGAAAATGTGTGGAATTAAATAAACTTTATGTTATTAAATATAATATATAAATTATATTTTTTTGACTTGTATTTGACTTGTATTTGAAATATGAAACAGAAAAAATTCCTAAATTGCCTGTTGGTAAGATGAGTCCAGTAAATATTAGTAATGTATCTCTGAATTTTAATCTAGCGTACAATATCATATTAAATGTTCCATTACTTTAAAATTTAAATATATAGGTATATAATATGTATAACTAATAATTATCAAATAAACAAATTCTGAAGTAATTACAGAGTAAATATAACAATAATTTAAAATGCGTTTTTAGCTTTTGTTTAAATAAACAATGCCACTAACACATTAATAATTGTATTTACTTCGATAAATATATTATTTTATAACATTTTTAATACTTAAACAATTAAGATTTTAATACCTGAACAATTTCATTGAATGGTATTATTTCAAACCCTTCAACTTCAGTCAAAGGAGCTCGAATTTTCCATAAATCTTCAAATTCTACTGTTTGTAATTTCACAGTAACTTCTCTTGGGAATATATTTGTTTTGGGGTTTACTTGTAGAGAATATTTCACAATATCAATCCATTCAGGTAAAATCCATTTGGACGGTTCCATAAAAACTGTACAGATTTCTTCCTCATTCTAATACAAAATTAAATCCATTGAAATATGATTATACAACTAATTAATTTTATTGTATATTTCTTTGCAATAATATTAATAAAAAATATTTACTTCTTTTTGTTTTGAAATTACTTCTAATACTTCTTTGTATGTTTTCAATACAATAACTTTATCTTCCAATTCATTAAACCTTATATATGAATGTATAACTTTTCCAAAACCCTGAGGCCCACTAACATCATAGTAATAAACCTATATGTAACAATATCATTAGAGATTATTGTTAAATATACAATATGTTACAAAATGGAAATAAATACTTTTGAAGCGCCAAATAGAGCTGCAGCAAGTCCCATAAATGACAAGTTGCCAACAAATAGACAAACACTGTTTGGTTGAACATATTTTTTCAATGCTGTTAAATAACTGTTCGTGAGGTAGTGATCGTTCATTTGCCCTATAAGAGTCCTGCTAATAACTCGATGAAAATCACATTCACAGTAAGGAAAAGGAACATCTATATATGAACTGAAACAAAAAAGAGAATTGTATTAAAATTAATTTGCACAGCATAAATATAAATTATTAAAATTAATATGCATAGGACAGAAGCATATTATTAAATAATGCAATTGTATAGTCACTAAAAATAGTACCTACCTAGACTTATTGGTGTCAAACCAAAACGATAGTTCATCGTGGTAACCAATTACACTGACTTCTTCATTTGTTTTTAAGTTCACTTCATTAGCAAAGTAATACACTCCTTGTATCCAATGGTCTCTCCAAGGTACGTTGTGCCGTTGCAAATGCCATTTAGGAGCACAACTTAACATAATATCACCATCGGTGTCCATAGCCAAATCCCACCATACAAATACAGCATGAGCAATACCATTTTCTTTTGATTTACAACGAATAGCATTTTTACGGTCTGTTATCACGCCATTTTTATCATTCCAATTGAACCTATAAATATATATTAACTGGTTAAGTATTATATGTAATTAAAACAGTTAAAGTTTAAATCTAGAATTCTAGACCATATCAATCACCTGAACATCACTTGTGCAGGAATTAAAGTTTTAAAAGAATCTGTTGGTAGTTCACCGAGTTGTAAATCAAATACACTTTCAATACCTTGGCAATTCTTTATTTTTTCAGGTATCTTAATCAATAACTTTTTATTGTGATACACATCATTAACTCTATTAAAATTTCTTATATACTTGCTTTCGATTACTTGAGCATAAACAATAGCTTCAGAGGGTATTACAATACAATCATCCTAAAATATAAATAAATAAATAAATAAATAAAAATAGTACAAAAAACTAATTATTAGTTGTCAGCATACACATTTTGTTATCTTTTAATTAAGTAAAAAAATATAAATTATGTATATTATAAATATTACCGTTAGCAGTTCCTGATGAGCGTGATTAAACACTGAAATAGCTCCTTCGCCAATCAATTCTGTGTCAAAAACTTCTGTAACTAATAAATTCATACGGTGAGGTAAGTCTACACCAACTTTTAACTTTTGAGAGCTCTTGTGGATAAGAACAATTTTGTGGTCCAAATAATTTGACTTAATTATTTCTTTTGCACATTTATAGGAATCTTCAAATTCCTATAAATAATCAAGAGTTTAAAAATGTATGCGAGGTTAACAATGATAATATGTTAAATACTTCACAAGCATAAACAGAATCGGCGCCACATTTAGCAGCCATCATAGCCAGTAAACCAGTACCAGTTCCGATGTCTAGGACATGGACTTTTTTGTTAGCTTTGTGCAATCTAGAGATTTCTTTTTTCAATGCTTTATAGTACAACTGATTCTGTAGGGAAAAATATTGGATTTATATTTTAATTGTTGTTTTAGTGCATATGACATATGATATTTACTCTGTCACTGTCATAGAGCATATCTCCAAAAGCAGCACGTGCAATGTTTTGATGGTGATCAAACTCCATCATAGAATTTACCTCCCAATTTTCATCCATGGTATTCTGAAACATGTAAATGTTTTATATTATACACCATATTGAAATAAACAATAATGAAGTATATTAAAGTAATAATGGTATACCATTTTTTGGCATCATTGTTTATGTAATGAAATTATGGATACCAAGTAGATATTTTACTTAGAAAATTCAGCCATAATTAAGCCATAAAACTTTACAAGTAGTACTAAAAAATAAAATACCAGATCAAATGTGTCAAATTAAAAAAAGTTTTAAATTCCAACAATAACTTTATAATTAGGTATATTCAAGTATTCATTTTTGACTAGCATTTAATATACACTGACTAATTATATATTGAATATTAATTACGTTTAAACAACTACTTTTAACTTATCCAATGATTATATATTATAATATATATAATATGTCATAAGAATTATATTAACAGAACTATATTTTGAAAACTACTTAATACAACATACAAGTCTCACTTTTGTTTGAACACTTTGAATACATTCAGTAATAACTACAGCAGTGTTCAATAACTGCAAATATCAGTAAGTTTAAGAATAGGAATGGACCAATTATAATAAGTACCTATTATTATGGTGAACAAATGAAGAATAATATTAAATTGCATCAAGCACGAAAAAATGAGTGCAAACAAATTTCTATTAGAATCTATCGATATTTCTACATACTTTAATCAGTTGGATTAAATTGTTGTTATGAACCCGTCGACGTCTAGCGGTTTGGTGGCCGCTCGCAGTCTCGCGGGTGCAAAAGTTTTGAAAAATTTCAACGCGCAAAACCAAAGCACGATGTTGACTACATTAATTCAATATTCATCGACTAGTTTCGCTTTCGCCGTTTCGTTGATAACGGGGATCGTGGTGGTGATAACAACCGTGACGAATGGAGTCGACCTTGGAGGCTTGGAAAATCCGAGTGGCCAGGAGAGCAGCTGCTGTCACAGAGTATACTAATTACGAATATACGATCATAATATTATTTTCAATATTGTACTATTATATATATATTGTACCTGGATCTTACGATCAGTTAGAATTTTAAATAAATAAATAGGATGCAACTCACTGTATACGCATCATAGAAATCATCTATTCTGTGGAGTACCGAGTAATATTATTACTCTATTATACGCATGTGCATTTTCATAAATTCCCCTAGTTATGTTGGCTTTAAATATTTATGCAGTACCTCTATCCATCGTATATGATCCCAGAACAATGTGATCTAAGGACATATATTATAGTAACTATACGACGTGCTGGATGTGTGCACGATTTATATGAAATGTACTTAATTATTAGTGGCGTAATTTTTGGTGTGGGCTATAGTAGACAGAAACTAGCAAGTGATCTATTACTTAGAGGCTACTGTCTACTATATATTTAACAGTTTCTATAAATATATTCGTATTTGTTATTTTTCAACAGGCTATGAAATAATATAACTTACAGTACCTAATAAAATATATTGTTGTTCTATTTAAAAAGACTGAAATTTCGGGCCAACCCACGGACTAAGATAATATTTATCTTAGTCCGTGGGCCAACCCCTATATACGCCACTGTAATTATATCTTAATTTGGGATACATAATAGAAGAAATTATGCTATTTGGTAACACCCGAACAACGCAGTAACGTCCACGGTCTTAGAAGATAGTGGCTATATCATTGAGTCGTGAAATATTAATTTTATTTAAATTTTTTTTTAAAAAAAAAACAAAATTATTTTCGACTTAAAAATTAAGTGGGGTAAGATAATTAGTTTATAAATAACCGACAATATCATTAATCATTATAAATAATTTATCTGTTTAAAATAGTACATGTAATTTTAATATATATAATTGAGAAAAAATAATTAATGATTTTGGTTAACGGGCCTTGGCAGTTTTACGTTCAATTTAGGAGGCCCCATGACAAAAAAGTATGAGAAGAAGTGTCTTAGATTACTCAAAAACTTAAAAAAAAAATGATACTGCATAAATGCGTTTTGTCTATGATGCGCATGAGCTAGAGAGAAAAAACAAACAGTGTGGTGACATCCTCTTTAGTTGTATAACTTTCAAATTTTGACTCAATAAAAAATTTTCCTTGGGACAAATGTTCCGTCTATTTCTTTAAGTCTAGGATACAAATTAAGGATATTAAGCATATATTTTTATCCATAGTCTTAAATTGTAAGATATTTATTATTTACATCTTAAATTGTGATTCACGGTTGATACCAACTGTAATGTACAAAATAAATGCCAATACACGAGAAAGACAATGGTGAGTTTATTTTATTGTTATAAATTTGATTTTCAAATGAAATAATCTTAATCTTAATCACTTCTTAGTTTACTTTATTGTTTATTACCCCTGAAATTATACTTAGTGTAATTTTTGCAGTATACCTAGACTGCTGCCGTTACTAGCGTAACATGAAACATATTCTTGTTAGTTTACATGGATGTAAAACAAATTGACTTACTCGTTTTTGTAACATACCGGCAATCAGCCAACTGTTTATAATTTCTACAAGTTTAGTATACACAATATCTGCTTAAGTGCTTGACTATCGAAAAAAGTACATTTTCTTTTTTGTTTAAGATAATTGAAATGTTAAGTGAATACATTTTTTTAGTTGAAAGTCCAAAGCTTTTGACTTTTGGTGTACAAAAATATTCATTGAGAGAATATCGTCCCCGTTCATGCAAAACACACCAAGTCCAAAAACATGATTTTGAGTATGAGCTTTTGCAATTTTTCCAATCTATAATTCCATATTCTGCGTATTAAGGAAAACATCGAATGGACTTAGTTAACATTTTGAATTGTATATTAAACATCTTTAAATAATATTGGGACTTAGTTGAATACAGCATATTGTAGATATTTTTAAACTGAATTTTATATGACAATAAACCGGAAAACCCGATTTTTGGACTTAGTGTGTTTTGCATGAACGGGGACGATATGGTCTATCCTCGATAGGTTCAGAAATTGAATTATTTCAATACATTTTAAAGACAAAAAAGAAAGATCAACTTTTTCATGTTTTATAAATTTGCATATTTATCTTGTCTAATAACCTTTTTATTTTTACAATGCTGCATTAGTTATTCTGGTATTTGCATAAAATTTGATGTTTAGCTGATCTACATTCCATGTATTTTCCATCAATTTTATCAAATGTGTAAGATGACAATTGAAAATGAAATGCGACTGCCAACCATTTGGTCAATTAGGGACCTGCAATTAAAAATATAATTATATTATAATTTTTTAAATGTACATTGTATATCTACTTCAATATGATACAATTTCAGCGACTTAAAATTAAAGATAGAACTAATTACTTTTTTTATATATGTATTAACAAGTAGCAAAGCTATGAATAAAAATGTCCTAAAGTATTTTTTTAGTAAGGTTAACCATTATATAATATTATTATACACAATTAGTTGTATGTAAAAATGTATTTGTATTTATAATTTTAATTTAAGTCTTTTTTTCTTACATATCACTATCTAGATAAATTATTGATTTACATTAAAACTGTATGTATAAAGTAGGTAGTTAATCCCATTGCCACATAATTTTAATATCTATATACCGTAAAATGGGTTTACTTGGGACATTTGGGTAACTTGAATACAATTAACGATATAGTATTATAAATGATTTGAGCACTAGAAATGTATTTATCATTACTGTATATAATCACACATTTATTTATTATCACTTTCACAACGATTGTCTTGCTGTTCAGACGTGCTCACATTGTAAATACTTATTTTTTAAATATAAATAAATAAGTAGACTATTATTGTCTGTATGCATAGTCAATTTGTGTATCTCTTAAGACATAGTTTATCATGTCATAACAGAGTTAAAACTTAGTGTACACGCGGCTTGCTATTAGTTGAATGTAAATGTGGATTCCAACATTAGTTGCAGCAACTACTCGTAAATTATATACAATATTTCATTGTTATTAATTATATGTAATTTTGGCAGTTATCATGAAATGCTGGGAAAAAAATAGTTTATATGGTAACTTAATAATATACTTTTATGTACTTATAAATTATTTTATAACTTAAAATTAAACCATGTGGTATTATAAAGTAATTTAAACTGACCAAGTTGTATTTTATTTTATTTTTAATGTAATTTTAAATGAAAAAAGTGACTAATTAATCATAAGGAGAAAAAAAATATAAATTTCATGGTTTAATCTAAAATAAGTTAATAAACTGTGTCATAAAAATTTAAAATTTTAAGGTTTTAAAAGCTGTTTTTTTTTTTTAAACAATACATCTGTAACAAGTTAAAATATGTGTAGTTCAATATGATTTTTTCATATAAAACAAGTTGTCCCAAGTATGCAAAAATCGAGGGTAACTTGGGACAAACATATTATTTTTTTTAAATGGGAAGGGGGAACCAAAAAAAAAATAACATATGGGTCTTATAGTCTAAGCCAAGACCAGAATTTTTGGTCCTTACTATTATTATTATATTTTGAAAACTTATCGATCAGCATTTATGTGAAGTTCAAAGTGTCCCAAGTAAACCTATTTTACGGTAGCATACTTTATAATTTCTAAACTTAGCTATTGAGTATTGGACCCCGCCACCCCACACATTTAAACAAAATATTATCCCACTTTAAATACATAATATGCTTACATTCTATATTTATAAACAAAAGTTTATATAAAATATATATTTAATAGTTAAAACAACTTTAGTATTACAATACATAAATGTCAATTTGGTTGTATGGTATTCTAAATCTTACCATAATATTCCTGTTAACTTCCATGAAGATAAATAGGAAATAGAAACACTGAACAACCATACTAGTCCCCTCCCATCTACTGAAACCTTCACAAAGGTTGATCGATAGAATCTTTAAAAAAAAGAAAAGGAATTAGTTGTAGTATAATTTTAATTTATATAGTATAATTTACTATGTATAAGTATAAAAGCAGGCGCGGATCCAGCCAACATTAACGGGAGGGGCGGATTATAAATATTTAAATATTTTTACTTAAATAGTAAATATACAATAAATGCTAATAAATTATAACAATTGCTTATTAATTAAAATGAATATTTTTTTTCTGAATTGAATTATTTACAATTTAAAATTTCCCTTCTATTATCAAATACCTTTTTAAAATGTCACAATAAAATATTGTATACAAATTTAAATGTCAAAACATATTATTATTGCAACAATTTAGTAGTTGTAAAATGTCGAACTGTTGACAGAATTAACTTTAATTCTATCAGTCGTCAGTCACCACAATAATTTTTCTATTATGTGGGTAGCAACTAGCAATGAACAGATAACCAATAATTTATAAAGATAATATTATTATATTTCTGACAGTCGAATATGGAAAATATTTTTAGATATTTTTAGGACAAAACCCTATGAGCCGCTCAGCCGCCACGCGTCAGCTGGCAGTCGACAGTCGTCGTTCCTTAATCGGTCGTAATATTGTTATCAACAATTTATAAATGTGTGTTATTAAAATAAAATAATACGATTTGTGACTGAATAATGTTACAATACATTTATATAGGATAATAAAATATTAAATTTAAATAATACGGCCAACAGGGAGGCAGTCGCCCCTACCGCCCCCGACTGGATCCGCACCTGTATAAAAGTATATTACAAACATGAAATTATAATCAGAGTACTCTGACGGAGTCTAATCAGTCTCTGTGACATTTTTATTGTTTTAAAGTAAAATTATAATTATGTAATACATTTTTTTGTACTTGCCCGCCGCCCCACCTGCAGTTTTACTATATCATTTGTTGATGATTTTTTTTATGTTAAGGACAATTTTTGTATAATATTGCCAAATAACAGATTTGAATTTCTTTACGCTTTATGCTTTAAATAAACTGATCCTTCAAATTGGTTTACACATAGACATATAAATTTCAAGTTGACTTTGTTGCTAAATATTTTGAACAATTTATTAGCATAAATAAAATTAGATAGGAAGCGATGAATAACATAAATATTATATTTTATTATATACCTTAAGAACTGTAATGCAATTGTTCGATTCATTTTTTTTTCCATTTTTTTTTTCATTTTTTAGTTGATCTACTAAATTATCTAAATTCTTTATTTTTTTTTTCAATTCCACTGTTTGCTTATGTAAAAATTTAATTCTTTTTTTCTGTTTAGTCACAGTTGACTGTGAAGCAATCCAATATTTTAGTCTGCTGTTAGGGCTATCTATATCACTTATGTGTTTAAAATCGCCCATAAAACACTTTCTTTTACTGAAACAATTAAATATTTTATTTAGCATCACATAGACAAAATATATATGATTCTATACAACTCACTTATTTGGACTTAAACATTTGTCTCCAACTGTACTTTGTACAACCACACTTGGAATTTCATTTCTATATTGTATAGCGGTCGAAGGAGAAACAGTACTTGCATTTTGAACAGTATAAAGCACACTTGGAATTTCATTTATATTTTGTACAACGGGTGCAGGTGAAACTGTACTTGCATTTTGAACAGTATAAAGCACACTTGGAATTTCATTTATATTTTGTACAACGGGTGGAGGTGAAACTGTTATTGCATTTTGAACAGTTGACCATACAATATTTTCTGTACTAAATTCAACTGAAATTATATTTATAAAGAATATAATTATAGTAGGTTATCAATTTTAAATACAAAATAATATTGAATAGCATACTAGGTATAGCGGGTGGTACATCCGGTAGTCCATTTAAATCAATTAAATCTGACAATGATAAAGTAACAACTTCTTCTTCTGCATCATGATCAGGAATACAGTTAAATTCCTGATTTGACTTGTTAACTAATGGTCTACCAATATCTAAACATAATTTGTAAATATTTTATTTTAATTCCTAGATATCAAGTACACTCACAAATAACTTACTTTGGTGCATAACACTAGGTATAGCATTTTTTTTTAAACGTTTAGTTTGATAAACACTGGAAGGTGTAATTTCATAATCCGAATCAGTTTTAAAATGAAGCCCACAAATACTGGTGCTAAGACTTGTTGCCATGGAATGAGGATTGTATTTCCTAAGGAATGTGATCCATGCTTCTCGAATTTCGCCTTTAGGAAGTCTAATTTTAAAGAAAATCATAACTGTTAACTAATAAATAAAAACATGTGACAAGCCTCTACCTCTACATAGCAAAACATAGTTTTTAATTTCTAATCAAAATGCGAGATCAACATTTGCCAAAAAAATAGTAAAATAAAATACCTGTGAAACTTAATACCTTGACCCGCCTTGGATTTACAGCCTTTCACTGAACAAGTAGTGACCATTTTTATGTAACTCAAACGAAATTGTAAATACAAATTAAATAGTAAATACTAGATAGTAGATACGTCAAATAAGTCAAAATATTATAAACAATATAAACTGACAAAATATTGAAAGTATACTTGGAAAACAAAATAACAAAATAAAAAATAATTGATTACAATATTGAGTATTTACTATTTACAAGCCTGAAATTTGAATGCATCAATGCATGATGCCCTGATAATAAACTACGGGGCACGGACTAAGATATACAGGACTGGACACGAGATGAATATTGTGGTTACGAAATGTTTTACAACAGGCGGAGTTCGGGGGGATATTTTCCTTTTAGCATTACTAGCGCCGTCTTAGTGGATACTTATGGAACTAGAAATTTGTATGATGTGTTCTAGTTCCATAAGTATCCACTAGGACGGCGCTAGTAATGCTAAAAGGAAAATATCCCCCCGAACACTGCCTGTTGTAAAACATTTCGTAGTCAACCCCTCCACACCCTCCAACCTTGTCGTGTCCAGTCCTGTATATCTTAGTCCGTGCTACGGGGATAAGACATAAGTCGCCAACAGAATAGATTAAATAAAAATATTCAAACAGTAACCTCAAAATACTAAAATGACTAATGTCTAAAAATGACTAAAATGACTAAAAATAAGAAAATTGTTAAAATATCCACCATTTGTGTGATGTTTTTTTTAATTTTATTATTTTTATTGTAAATAAAAACATTATTACATTTTTATCTAATCAAAACTTAATGAAAGATTAAACAATATAAGATAAACTTTTCTGAAAAATTACATTACACAAGTCAAAAAAATGTTGAGTAAATTACGCCCAGAAAAGCAGTATGGGTTTTTCGAATTATTGAGTGGCCTTAACTTAACCCAGAAAGCAGCAGCCCGGGTTTTTTCGTTTTGGGCTTTCTCTTGCGAACCCTACTTCAAACTGTTAAGTGCTAATTTGTTTAGTTTGTTAAAAATACAATCCGATATGCAATATTGCGATAACTTATTGTGGCGCCGATCACTTAATTTCTCCATGATAGGACGTATGTCATAGTAGAGTTTTATGGATGGGGGGGGGGGCACACCGTAGTAGTAGGGTACTTCGATTGTATGCGGTTTCAGATTCTAAGCTTATATAAATGTATTTGATTTAGTACTCTAAATTAATGTATTATTGATTTTACAACGCGTGTTTTATTTTATTTTTATTTTTTATGTTTTATTGTTTGTTTCTGTGTACACGATAAGTAGGTATAGTCGAAATGTGCTTCGATTTTCAACTTCAGAAACTATTGTTTGATGGAAAAGTGAATATTGTTGGTGCAAGTGGTTTTCAACTGAAGTTGTTAAAGGAAATATTGTTATTTTTCACTTAGATCCAATTTTGAAAAAATGTCCCATTTGAAATATCCATTACAAAAAATGTTGAATAACTACTAAAAATAAAATTGATTTTTAAATATTCTATTTTCCAGTTATTTTATTAGGTATTAAAAAACTAATAACATATAGGTTCATATATTTATAACAATAGTTTTTTTGTCTATAAATGTGAATAAAATCTTATTCGTTGGGTCAAAAAGCGTGAAAATAATCTCTTGATACATTGTTACAACAGCAGTTGAAAAATATTAAAAATACATAGCGTAATTTTTTTCTTAAGAATTAAAAGTTCAAATTTTGACAAAATGTATTATATTTGAAATTTAAAAATGATTTTGTAACTTTTATAGCTTAGGATTGAAAATTAAAAACGAGGTTCACGTAAGTAGGTTGTTCTGTTAGTTGTTACTTTAAAAATATGTAATAAATACATAAACACAGTTTTTATTTTATGTTCAAATTTAGAAGAAATTACATAACTAAACAAAGAATAACGATTATAGTTTTGTGTTATATTTTTGAGATATTATTCGTGCTTACTTGAAACTTCTAATATAGGTATATTATCATATTTATTCATATACAATAAATTATACCTACAAATAATATTAATTCAACTTCCCAGCTACCGTATAATATACTTGGCTGACAAACCGTATCCGCTCAGAATCGTTTTTCGTGTTCAAATATAGGTACAATGATATTATATATCTTTGAATTCAAATTTAACACCATCTATAACAGTGGATAGTGGATCACTTTAACCCTACAGTAACTCTAAAGCAGAGTGATGTCCACTTATTCGCTTTTTTGTTTTTGAATTACAACAAAATATCAAAAATGTTTAAATCAAACTTACTTTCTGGTAAAATTTTTGTTTAAAGTAGAAAAATTTTTCCGGGAATCTTCTATTAAAACTTCTAATTTAAGAAAGAAAGATAACCTTTTATGAACAATAACTACAAACGTACATCATCACACTTATATGTATCTCTTTATGTTCCTGAACTGCTAGTAAAGCATGTAAGCATCTTATATTCTTATGAGGACCATTGCGTTAAATTGTCAAGTTTTTTTATAAAGAGAAAAAATTAACAATCGTTTAAAAATAATTTTACAAAATTTAAAAATTTCTCAAGTAAATATAGCTCAAAAAATAGTCAAAATATTTTGAAAATATTGTCATAGGTATATTAAGAAAAATGCTAATTTAAATATTTGGTAAAAATTTCAAGTACTACGGGTATTATTGGTGCGTAGTACTTTGAATTTATATGTACACTTCACTACTTCAGTTTGAAAATCTTCACAAGCGTTTGTTGTTTTTGAGGTTGATGATGATGGCGATCAGTGGCGTAATTTGGGAAAAATATCCAGGGTTGCAAAAGTTACTCGGGGTAAACAAACCTGTGGGGGCTTTGCCCCCACACCCCCAACAATACAAAAAAATGTTTTAATATAACCATATTATTATATTTTATTAACATAAAATACATTATAAATCTATATAATTCTTTTTATATATAAATACAGGTTATTAAAAGCTATAAATTAATTTTTTTATAGTTAATATATAGCCACAAACATTACTTTTATTTAAATTATAAGAATTTGTCCATATTTATTAATAAAACAACCAATGTTAAAATATTTAGATATATTGACTAGGTATTCACAAATAACCATTAAAAATAAACACGAAAATGATTTAAGTAAAATAAAAACCAAAATTCACTAAGAAATAATATAATAAACGTTCACATGACACATACAAATGAGTCATTTGAAATGACAAATCAATATTATAAAATCTCAAGAAATATCGATAACAATAATACGACGACATAGAGAAGTTTTAATCTAAAAATAAATTCGTTTTTATAATTTATATTTTAATCACTATCTAAGTATACTATCTTAAATCGTGATTATAATGGATAACAATCACGATCACGATTAAAGATATAATATTTTATCTAATTTTAATAATGTATAATTTATTTTTAGATTAAACTTGTCGTATTCTTATCGACGTTATCGTCGTCTCAATTTTCTCATTCTCCAATTTTATTTTTTTACTATCTAGCGATAAACCATAAATATGGAATTTCCAGGGGTTGCAAAATAATACTTTTGCAACCCATACATTATATTTGGGGTCGCAAGTGCGACCCCTTGCGACCCCCCAATTACGCCACTGCCAATGGCGATGATGCTGAAGTCCACAGCTGCTTTATAGTGAAGCAATAACATTTAAAACAACTCGAGAGAGCTTACACATTTCCTTCAGGTAAACATAATGTTTACCCGGGAGTGTTTATACATTTCCTTCAGATAAACATAATATAATTGACCCGGGAGAGTTTACCACCGCCCGTCGCAAATAGGGAGGAGCTTTAGGAACTAATCCCCCTCAAGGTCTCAAATCTCAAATACTATTTGCGCCTATGGTCATTGTTTAAAAATCATCACTCAGCGCTGAACCAATCTTCTTGGTCAATATAAACTAAATTTTCATTATAACTAAAATACCTGCACATTTTTTGAAAAAGAAAACGATAATAATTTAAATAATATATAATACCTAGTGGAATTACCTATATTCTCACTTGATCGGGTATTCGGGTGTATCATTTCTATTTCTTATTATATTCTATAGTGGCTAAATTCTGCATAATATTCATACATATTAAATACAAATTGTATTGTTTTTACAATATTTTGTGATCTTTTTATTTGCATCTGTATTCTGTGTATTATACTATTATAACTATTTATAACACGCAATTTACAGTACAAAAACTGCTTAGATCTACAACTTTGAGGGTGGTTCCTATTTTTTGCTTAAATTATACCTACATAATATATTCAAATTATGATTTTTCAAATTTTTAAATAGGCACATACCTACCTACTTGAGATTTTTGACCACTTGATCCTGTGATAATATAAACTACTGTTTAGTTCACCAGAGACGACGAGTAGACGACTGCAACCGAAAAAAACCTGGTTTTAAACAAAACCTTTTAAAATCTTGATACCTATATGCAAAAACTCTAAATATTTTGTATTTTTAGAAATCTTGTAACAGAAACTGATAGGTAGGTTAGGTTACCTATACCGGCTATACCTATATTTTGATGTAGAAATATTTTTGGTTCCAAATTCTAATGAATATTATTATCTATAATATATTTAATAAATAGCAATAATAAGTAATAAGTTATTCCTAATAACTATAATAACTATTATAAAATCGTAGATCTGTAAAAGTATATCAATAACTAGAATATTGTTACTTTTATAATACCTAATAATATGTAACCACTATTCAGAAATCTTAAAACTTAAAAGGCTGTACAGTCATTAAACAAAATAATATAAATTCTAATTTCCAAGTAATTGACAATCAGCAGCACCTGCACAGTAAATAACTATTATTGTATGAAAGTAAAGTACCTATGGATTGCAAGATAAATACTGGCTACTATGCACCTATCGGGAATCGGGATATCATGTTCCAGTCAGTATTTCCAGAAATGTATCAATGATTTTTTTTTCGTTATAAATTATAAGTTTTGGGTGTATTGTTATTAATGTATGAACACGGAGAAAGGGGACTTGTGATTAAGCATAAAATAGATTAAGCTTCGTAGTTTGATCATTCATAAATAGTATATTTATAATTCAAAGAATAGATATCGCATTTTTAATACTAATTTATTAATTTGAATTTAATGCCAATGATATTAATATTATATGAGGCAAATTTATATGCATCATGATTGCTATATAATTAATCTGTATAATTACTTCCGATAACGTATATAATTTTCATAATAATTTTAAGTTCAAATAATAGACAATTACCATTACTCAAACCTCATGACACGCCAGTATCCCAGCTCTGGACCACCAAATATGTGTACAATTTTACCGCCACCGCGGCAATGTGTGGGGACCTTAAATCTTAATTCATATAACTAATAATATAAGGGTTTACGATGTAGAGTATAGAATGAAAAAGTTAGGTTACATCATACAAAATATGGTAATCGGATAGTAGTATAAAATGTTGTTGTTAATTTTTCAAAAATTATTTATAGTTATTTATTTATATTATTTTTATTACCTATATTTTGTATAATATTTTTGTATACCAGTGGCGTATTTACGGGGGGGGTCCCCGGGTCTGGACCCCCCCCAGAAAAAAATATAATATAATATAATTATTACATCGTAACTCGTATATGTGTTTTTTTATATTATAAACTTGTAGGTACCTAATATTTAGACCCCCCCCCAGAAAAAATTTCAAAATACGCCACTGTTGTATACTATGTGTTTAACTGTATTATTTGACGTATCGATCATTCAAAATATTTTTATATTCTACATCTATTTGTAACGTTGTTAAGTTAGTTATTTAATTTGAATTACACATAATATATTATCGTAATATAAAACAAAATATTATTTATAATATATAATTTTTTTAACAATATAATATAATATACGTATTTGTAATTAAATATTAATTATAGATACTAATTAACGTTTAAAAAATATTTGTTCAACCATTTGCATGAGGTTTTGAGTAATATTGTAGTCTGGGGATTTTTTTCCTAGGGTCAGGGATTTTTTTCTCGGGATTCACATAATATGGCTAATCCAGTAAAAACAATGAAACTGGCCAAATTACAATTAGTATTTGTCTAGTTGGTATTATACAAACTTAAATAGTTTTATTTAAAATACATTTTTATGACACCAGCTTTGGGTGCCACATCTATTTTAAACTCACTTTCCAAATAGTAACATTTTGAAATTTGCTGAGCTGCATGATCACTTTGATCACAACAGATAGTATTATAATTCTATAATATATTATTCATAACATTTTTATCTGGTTCTTGGATCTGAAGGATCAGTAGGGAAGGAATGGGTATATTAGGTTAGAATTGAAAAAAATTTTCAATTTTAATAGTTATGATTTATTATATCGTAATATATAATATTGGCAAATATAGTCTCTATACCGGAAATCCGTTTTTACATCATAGAAATTTATTGAGTGCATAATATTCTACTCTTAACATAAAAAAAAAAAAAACGAATCACCATTACAAATATTACCAATCACTTTATGTAAAAGTAATCAAAACTTAAAAATAATTATAATTTAGTGTCGTAAGATATTCTAAGAAGTATATAGCCAAAGTGTATATATAATAAACACAATGAACACAACTTATACAACAAGATTTATAAAATAATAAATAATATATTTTCAAGATGTGTCTTACGAATATGACTACTAATTAATCCGTAATGAAAAAAAAAAAAAAAAAAAACAAAACAAAACGAACATTTTATTCTCATCATTCTTTGAGAGATTAAATTCAAGTTTCACGACGGACTTACAAGTTTAAATCGATTAATATCAACACGAAAAATACCTATTAATAATATAGTGCAAATATGAATTATGTAAAAATGATCAACCCTGTCTATTTAAGCAAAAAAAAAAGGATTTGTCATTTATCTTATTTACGTTTTTTCTTATCGTTATCATAAACAACAAACGAAAGTAATTTTTAAAACATTATCGTCGAGACATATATTTACTTATCATATATATATGTGTATATATAAATGTGGTTACTTAAATACAATCAATATTATAATATTATATATTATTTTACTCGTGTCTTAATAACACAGTTGAAATTATAGATATCGATGAATAGAGCAAAGGATAAACAGATTTATGTACTTAAATATATTATTATTATTATTATTATTATGTAATATAAAAAAAAAACAAAAACAATAGCATGAATAAAAGAAATGCACTTTAATGTAGAAACTTACAGAAGAACATTCAGTATTTTTTTTTTAATAATATGCGTTCTCGGTTCTAATTCAAACGCCATTATTTTTAATTTTATCGACAAATTGGGTCACATAATATAGAGCTTATACAAAAAACAAAAAAAAAAATAATAATGTTAACTTACACATTATTATTATTATTAATAATAATATAAACCTTAAAACTTTTCTTTGATCACTATTATAAAAAGAAAAAAATAGAATAATAAAAAGAAAACATCTCAATAAAATAACAATATGATACACAAATATGATTTAGTTGGAGAAAAAAAAAATCCGAGACGTTTTTTTCATTGGTCGACATATTATATTATATTGCACCACTACGCAAAACTTTAGTAGCTTTCCGCATTTTTATAAATAAATAGAAATACGAATTTTTTTCACATCAGTCTTTCCATTTCCCCCAGATTTGTTAAAGATGCCACAGAAAAATATATCTAAAACACATTTTCCTTTTATTATGTTTTGTTTATCGTTTTAAATAAATCCCTTAAAATCTAAAATAGGGAACATCGCGCTATACATCGTTTAACAAATATCACAGATCGAGTATTATTATTTTTTACAATATAAATTAATAAGACAAATAAAAATTAATATCATAATGTTAATTTTATCGAGTTTTATACAATTTACATGGACTTGTTATAAAAAATTGACCCTTGGCAAAAAGAAAAAAAGGAACTCATTCGAATTGTCTAAATATTCGTATAAAACACAATTTTTTATACTTTTTTAAGACTAGTTTAAATATTTTATTTTAGGTTAGGAAGTAACCATATTTTGTCAATATATATATTATGCATTTCTTCTGGATGTTTCAAGTTTACCGTGCATTTCAAAAGAAAGTATTAGATTATAATAATAGATAATTAGCAATAAAGTTAACTTTATTAGTTAAATTTGGAATGTGACTTCATTTTGCAATTAAACACTGGAAGAAAAAAAAAATTAGCCCCTAAATCCAAAAAATTTTTATAAGAAGTCACAATCATTAATTATATATGCTTTATGTTTAGTTTACTGTTGGACTGATTGTGGCTGGCCATAGTATGGATAACCTGCTTGTGGCACAGTGGTGTAACCATTTGAAAACGCTTCTTGAGTAGCTGCCGGGGGGCGGTTCTGCTGGAAGAACTTGTGTGTAAGTAGAGGCTGTATGGAAGCATCACCGGTATTGTTCATCACATACTGTGGTGGCAGAGTACTCGCATACATGTCAGCCATATTAGAAAACTGACGTTGTTGGTTGAAGCGGTTTGGCTGATAGTTGGCACGTGGATTATTAGTGTAGCCATTTTGACCACGGTTATAACCAACAGTGTTCTATAATTGATTAAAAAAATTAAAAAGTATTATTTAAAAGCCTTCGGTAAAAAAATCTGAAGTTTACTTCCTCCAATCTATGTATTTAGTGGACGCTCTCGGACATTTGTTGTCTCCATCTTACAAGTGCGTAAACATACCAAATTTACGTTCAGCAGGTTATCTTTAACTTTGTTAGTTTATAGTATAGAATGAATAAACACATATTATGAAATTTTATGGTAAAAACATTCTGTATTTGTATGAGGTTTTGGTATGATGGTTCAGTTTTTAAGTGGAACATGAGCATTCTTAATTTATTTCATATTTAACACACAAAACTTGCTAAAAAAAACTAACATAATATAAACACAGATAATGTTCTTACCACCAAGTTTCATAATAGGTCAATTAACTCTAATTTTTAAACTAACATACGAAACGTGATCTACTGAGTGTAAATTTGCTGTCACGCAGTTGTAAGACAGAGACAACAAATTTTGTGTAGCGTCTTCTTAGGTATGTAGTAGTAAACTGATAGGAAAGAAAAATTAAAAAAGTTATCTGTTGATTCATAATTTATATCATACCTGACTTTGTCCGTATTTTTGACCGGGATTTCCATTATATTGTTGGGTTTGATATTGTGGGTTTTGGAATTTGGGAACATTACGAGGAATACTGCCTGTTCCTGATTGGTATGCTCCAGTTTTATGTTCATTATTATAACCTTTGTTTTGATAGTTTTGACCATTTCCGAAAGTTCCACCATTAGCATAGTTGGTGGCTCCATTACTATAACTGTTAAAGTTATTTCCATAGCCTCCACCTCCTCCATAACCAGACCCATTGGTGTAGTTAGGATTTGCAGTTCTAGCATTATTCGATTGTCCATAAGGGGATTGAGTAGCCAGTGGTGTATTTACATCACGATAACGATTGGTCCACTTAGCCCGACCTAATAATATAAACACAAAGAAATAATTTTTTAATTAATAAATATAAAAACAATATAAAAATTAATACAATGATGTAGTAGCAATCAAGACCATTTAATAATAAAACTAACCATTTTACTGCTACAGACATACTATTATCGAATGTAAATATACCGTTCACAACCAGTGGCGTAGACAAGGGGGGGACAAGAGGGTCCAATCCCCCCATTGGCTTTTTATTACGTGAGTAAAAAGTTTTGAGGGGGTGGGAGATTCCCATTAGCTGTCGTTTTTTTTTTTTTTGATCCCCCTTTCAGAATTCATGTCTACGCCACTGTTCACAACTATTTAAATAAGTTACATATACTTTGATAACTGAATTGTATCTAATAAAATTAAAATAATCTGTTTGAGGAGGACTGGTCCCATTAGAAAAGTGCAAATGGGGCTAATTAAATCTTCAATTATTACTATTACGACCAAATTTATATCAAGATTTGAAAAAAATTACATTGATAAATTATATTTAAGTCGTTAAAATCATTATCTATAAATACTTCGTACCTATTTAATATTCAAAAAGTTAAAATAAATCCTGTTTGAGGAGGACTGGTCCCATTTGAAAAGTACAAAGGGGGCTAATTAAATCCTCAGTAACTACTTTTACGACAAAATGTATATCAAGATTTGAAAAAAATTTCATTGACAAATTATATTTAAGTCGTTAAAATCATTATCCTTTAATACTGCGTATTTAATATTTAATAAGATAAAAATAAATCCTGTTTGAGGAGGACTGGTCCCATTTGAAAAGTACAAAGGGGGCTAATTAAATCCTCAGTAACTACTTTTACGACAAAATGTATATCAAGATTTGAAAAAAATTTCATTGACAAATTATATTTAAGTCGTTAAAATCATTATCCCTTAATACTGCGTATTTAATATTTAATAAGATAAAAATAAATCCTGTTTGAGGAGGACTGGTCCCATTTGAAAAGTACAAAGGGGGCTAATTAAATCCTCAGTAACTACTATTACGACAAAATCAATATCAAGATTTGAAAAAAATTTCAATGATAAATTATATTTAAATCGTTAAAATCATTATCCCTTGATACTGTATATTTAATAAGATAAAAATAAATCCTGTTTGAGGAGGACTGGACCCATTTGAATACTACAAATGGGGCTAATTAAATCCTCAGTTATTAGTATTACGACAAAATGTATATCAAACATTTTAAAAACATTGATAAATTAGATTTGTGTCGTTGAAAAATGTCAATACATTTATATTTTAAAGAACCCAGGTGGCTGGCAATAGTTAGACAAATTGTAATAGGTGTTGTATTCTAGCTGCAAGTGGGGTATGGATAACAGGAACCTTAGTTTTCGAGACTGTGATTATAGCCATAAATGTGTTATACATACTTGACATATGATTTTTTGCCATATTTGCCATTTCAATGAGTTCTTCTGGGACTACTTGATGAGCTTCTTCCAAAATTGAAATGAGATCTTTGGCTTGTCGCATGTTATTTGTGGAAAAGAATGTATAAGCAATTCCTGCTTGTTTTGAACGACCAGTTCTGCCAATTCTGTGTACATAATCTTCAGAAGAATTGGGGTAATCAAAATTGATTACATATTTAACATCATCAACATCTAATGGATAAATTATGTTAGAATTTTAAACATTTCATTGTACAAATATAACTATTCAATTAAATTTACCCAATCCTCGAGCAGCAACATCAGTAGCAACCAAAATTGGTGATTTACCGTTCCTAAATTCATTCAATACATGATCTCGGTCTTGCTGAGATTTATCACCATGCATAGATGTTGCTATATATCTATAAACATAAAGTTATTATTAATAGAACATTATTGAGTGTACATTTAAAATTTTTTATAGGTACCCTTCATTTTTTATTTGTCTAGTCAGCTCATCAACTTTCTTTTTCTTTTCTACAAAGATAATGGCTTTAAATCCAGGTTCATTAGATATTTTCATTAAAAGATCAAACAATTTATAATCTTTTTCGTGATCTTCACAAACTTCAATTAACTGTTGAATATTATGGTTGGCAGCAAGTTCTAAAGAACCAACATTGATTTGAATGTAGTCGACTAAGAAATCTGCAGCTAACGCTTGAACCTCTTTTGGCCAAGTTGCAGACCACATTAATACTTGCCGGTCAGGCTAAAATAATAATTGAAGAACCAATATAAAAATATACAATATACATACAATGGAAATATTATATAAAATATATTATTTACCCTTATCTGTTCAATGATTTTTCTAATTTGAGGTTCAAATCCCATATCTAACATTCTGTCAGCTTCATCAAGTACTAAATAAGTCACACGTTTTAAATTTGTGGACCCACGTTCTAAGAAATCAATTAACCGCCCTGGAGTAGCAATTACAATTTCAACCCCATTTTGTAAATCATGGGCTTGAGGCCCTTTAGGAGTGCCACCAAAAATGCAAGTATTGCGAATACTTGAGCTAAACATTTTTGCAACACTTTGTATTTGTTGGGCTAACTCTCTTGTTGGAGCCAATACTAGAGCAATAGGTCCATCTCCACGTTGAAGTGGCTCTTGATTACTAATGTGCACTGCTGCTGGTAACATGTACTAAGAAAATTTATTAAATTAAATGCAAATTAAAGTTATAATACTTTTGAAAATGTATACATACCGCTAATGTTTTTCCAGAACCTGTCTGAGCAATACCTACAAGATCGCGACCACTTAAAGCTATTGGCCATCCTTGAGCTTGAATTGCAGTGGGTTCAGAAAATCCTTGTTTTTTTAACTCTTGAACAACACTCTCAGGAAAATTACCTTCAATAAAGAATTGACTAGGATCAGGGACATTTGCTCCACGAATTGTGATAGCTTTGTCAACACGATATAAATTTACTTCATCTGGACTCCTAAAAAAAAAAAACAAGAAAATATTTGTTCTTATATAACACACAATCTTTGGACAGGTATAAGTACGTGGGAAACCATTAATAAAAATTTACCTGCTAACGGTGTCTACATGTGGAGCGTAAAAATCTTTTTTAAATGGTTGAAGAGATTCACGAGTCCAGTTTGGTTTTCTTAATAATTCACCCGGCGCTTTATTCATTGGTTTAAACATTGCACCACCAAAATCTGCATTTTCTGTGTTGCCATTTTGAGATTTCCAAAATTGATTACCATAACCTTGGTTTTGGGCTGTACGTGGTTGTTGATACCTTTAGCAATAAAAATAGTAGAAGGAAAACATGTATTATTTTATTCTTTGGAATAATGTAATAGGTAGATAAGTGTTTGTTAATAAGAATACTTAAATAGGTAGTAAATATGAATCTCTTAAAGGCATTGTATAATTAATTATAAATTATCAAAATAAACTAATTTTAAAGGGGAATGCCATAAACCATTTAAAAATAGACTGTTATTTAAATAATTACTTACTTATTAAAAATAATATATTTTTAATTTAAAGTAAGTATTGAAAATAAATAATTTTTGATTGATTTTAGTTTTAAAATTCAACAGTCAATTTAAAATTCTTAATAATGAAATAGTAGATAATAATCAACAATTAGAAATAAGTAGGTAAGTATATTTTGAAACTAGCAACAGAATCTTGAAAGGAATAGTTGTTCAATTCAAAATTAAAGTTTAAATATAATTTGTTAGGTACCCAATATCCTTAAATAATTCAATATAAATTTTAATTTGTGTCTATTAAAGAATAATCTATAAATAGCTTAGTAAATAAAAACGATATTAAGTGTACAACTACCCAACATACCTATATTATGTTAATTGCATCATTTATAATCATTGGAAAGATAACTGAGGAGAATAAAATAAATAATTTATTTAGGGAATAGGAATTAAATAACTTTTATAACTAAGTTATACAACATTTTTCTTAACAAATAATCAAGTCGGAATAAACTCGGGAATAATCAAAATAATTTAATAATTATAATATATAAAATATAACACAATAGTTTAGTATTATAATATCAGGTAGGTAAATAAATAACCTCTACAAGAACATAATTCTAATTTTACAACTATATTATTTATAGATACTTATTGTATACTTTGTTAAGTAACATTTAATAATATCATGGTCAGCATTAATAGTAATTAATAATTATTTTACTGTGTGTATGTTATGATTATGATAATCTAATGTTAACATTTTTAAAGAATAAAAAAATAATTTTTTATGCTGTAAGAGTAAGAGTCCAAATGGTTTTTAAACTTATAAACTTAACGTGAATGCCTTGTATCACTTGACATAATATATTGATACTGTATTGTGAATCACGAAGTTATAAGGGGAACTGGGGGGAAGCAGTAGATTAGAGAACCCCAAAAATACTAAAAAAAAAAAAAGTTTGCACAACTGTTGGGTAAAATAAATGTTCGTGCTAACACATGAAAAATATCCAATTTAAAATAAATAAAAAAAGACTATTTATTGCAATCTGTAATTAGTAATTACATTAACCCTCAGACGAGACGATGACGGTCGCGTGCTCGACGGGCGAGTTACACGCACGACAATCCAACCGTAGTCACCACGGCGTAATATCAAAATATGAATATTAATAATATTTTAAATCGTGTATTATACTCACATTGGATAACCCGTGTTGTTATACATATTTTCGAAGCCGTTTCCAACTGAATGTCAATAACTGAACTACAATAAGCCGACAAAGAACCGAACGGGGGGATAGATATTATTAATATTATAATAGGTAAATATGCTCGCCTCGAAAACAACGCGTCGTTTATCGGACTTATTGGAGACAAAGCGTCGACAGCCGAAGATAACTCACCGGGAATGGAGAAAAACGGACAGGGGGGGTTTTGTTCGGTCGGTTTTTCGGTTCACGCGCAGACTGACTGGTTTCGTTGCAAACGGACACGACGGAACGGGTAACGTTTCAAGACGGAGAAGCGGCCATGTTTGAAAGTAGTAAGTACGTCCGTCGTCCGCCGCTAGTTCGTTCGGGTTCGACGTACGTCGCGCATTCGCCCCTGCGTACAACAGCGATCTCCTCCCGGTGACGTAACACGATGGGTAATGGATGAAAAAATCAAGCACCCGGCCTTTTCTTCCATGACATTTCGCGAATCCAAGGGTCGACCGCAATGCTTTGAAGACGTGCTGAGCGGAGCGATTGCGATTCCCGTCACCTACCAGTCTGGGGATGGCCCGCCCACCTACCAGAGCACACTACAGATGTGGCCTGTCCATTGACATTTAAATTTGTATTGTAATTTTCTACCATCGATGCCGCCGACATTACCCTTTTTTCTCAGCCATATGTTTACGATGCACACTGATAACCATTATCACCATTCACCAACATAACATAATGTAATGTAATTAGGGCGTACAATTTTTTTTCTAACGTCGTTTTCTACTTTAGTCTATAATACACCTACGTTTGTGTATTTATTTATATTTTCACGTTTTATCACCTTCTAATAATAATATTCTTATTGAATTTGATTTTTTTTTCAAATTTCGTAATATTGTTCACAGACATTTATCTTCAGTAATCAACCACCTCTGTACAAATCAAGCATATCATAATGGTTTGTAACAATAATATTGTTATTAACTTATATTAAATTGTTAAACTACAATGACCAATAAATACTTAATAAGTAATATTCGAAATGTACATAGCCATATACCCACACAAACTATGTACACATTAAGTACATATTTAATTTTTTTTTTATACTCTTAATCAAATATTATACAACTATACAATTGCAAATCTATATAAAAAAAAAAAATTTACCATCACTTAGTGCAACATTTTAGCTACGCTTACATTTTCTTCAATTTATATAATTGATATATATTTTATTAAATTGTCTTATTTGAACTTAACTGTTAATCCTTGTTACGTCTAGTATTAAAATAACTATTATAAGTAAAGGTACCTAATATGTAAAAATAAGTTTCTTGTGCATAGATGTCTTATTGTTTTAGATCACATCTTTAGACAAAATCTTAATTCACATATATTTAACATAATTTAAGTCAACTTATGAATGACTTGAATTGTGTTTATATTTATGAATTTAACTATAGTTTCTTAAACCTTTAGATCGTTGATGTGATATACTATCCTTAATGGCACCAGCTGAAGAAGTAAAAGATGTGTTGGGTTGCACATGCAACGTGGCCCCCTTCGATGTTCCTAACAAATATTTTTCAAAGCCACATATTGAAGCATTTTTAAGAGGATTAAATAGTTTGCGAAAGAATAATGTTTTCTGTGATGTGCAACTTGTTTCCAAAGGATTTTGCATTAATGTATGAAAACATTTAATTAAATATACTATTTTGATTATAAGATATATTTACACATTAACAAATTTACCTGAATGAATTCAAACTTTGTTATAGGCACATAGAGCAATTTTGGCTGCAAGCAGTCCATATTTTTATGCTATGTTTACTAACGGATTATTGGAAGCTGGTAAAAAATCTATTGAACTGCCTTCAGTTTCTCCCAATGTACTTGAAACACTTGTTAACTTTATTTATTCAGGTAAAAAGAAACACTTATAAAATATAATAAGTACATAATATAACAATTAATTCAATGCTTATAATTTAAGGAGAAATAAATATTTACCAAGAAAATGTAGAAGAACTAATGATAGCAGCAGATATGTTAGAACTTAATGATGCTGTAAGTTGTTGTACAGAATTCTTGAAAAGTGAATTAGATTCAACTAATGCAGTTGGATTGCTTAGGTAACGATTAAAAATAATTTAATACCTGTTAAATTGTCATATAAATTTATTAAATTATATTACATATTATTTATAAAAAGGTTTGCGGATATGCACAATTTTACTGTTCTGCACAAATTATCAAAAGATTTTATATATGGAAATTTTGTTCAAATATGTGAAGAAGATGAATTGGGTGATTTGTCTAAAGATCAATTTATTAAGTTTCTCAATAGTGAATATCTTTGTGTAGACTCTGAACAACAGGTTAATAATTTTTTTTGGACTTAATCATTATATTTATTAGTAATTAGTATACTAAGTTTAGTCTTCTTTTAGGTATTTCGTGCAGCTATGAAATGGATTAAACACGATCTCTCAGACCGACGTCGCTACATATTTGAAATTCTTTCATGTATACGTATACCTTTAATGAGTACCCAGTTTTTAGAACGTGAAATTAATGACAACACAGATGCAAGCTTAAGAGTTGCTTTACGTTCTATTTATACAGACATAGCTGAACGTATTGGTAATTTAGTAGCTTTGCAAGTTGAACCACGGTTAGGAGCCAAAAAAGATATATACATACTAGGCGGGTCTAAAAGAGAAATATGTAGTGCCTGGTCTCGATATTCTGAGTCTACGTTTGAATCTGTTGTCAAATTCAACACTTTTAGGAAGTAAGTGACCTCAAACTTTTTTCAGCTCATGTTTGATGTATTTAATTTTATATTTTAGGGAATGGTGTGACATAAAACCAATGAATATTGGTAGAATAATGCCAGGAGTAGCTATATTGAACGGATGTATATATGTGGTTGGAGGCGAAAACGAATCACTTATCCTTTCAAATGGAGAATGTTATAATCCTATTGAGGACGAATGGACTTCTGTTGCTGGAATGACTGTTCCACGATGTGAATTTGGAATGGCTGCATTAAATGGATATTTGTATGCAATTGGTGGATGGGTTGGAGATGACATAGGTGGTTCTATTGAAATGTGAGTTTTATTAAAATTATTATTTAATTTGGTAGGATTAAAATTATTAAGATTAACTTTTGTCTAGCTATTCCCCATCATTAAACCGATGGACCATGTGTAATAGCGTGCTACCTGAACCGCGATTTAGTATGGGAGTCGTGTCATTTGAAGGTGTTAAAAATAATGATTTAATAATGTATTGAAGCTAATTTGTTGCTATTTTAATTAGGTTTGATATATATTGTGGGAGGGTGTACTCGCACTAAACGACATCTTCAAGACTTACTGAGTTATAATCCAGTGACTGGAGAATGGTCTATTTTGGCACCAATGTTGGTTCCACGCAGTCAAATGGGAGTTGCAGTTTTAGATAAACATCTCTATGTAGTTGGTGGTATTACCAGCAATAATGAGGTGTTAAATTTGGTTGAACAATATGACTTTGAAGAAGTAAGAATCATTAGAAGACTAGGCATATTATATGTTTGAATTTTATAATATTACATTACAGAATTCTTGGAGTTTTGTAACTCCAATGAAGGGTAAACGTGCAAGTCCAGCTGTTGCGGCTGCTGATGGAATGTTATATGTAATTGGTGGGGATATAACGCACACAATTAATTCATACAGGTCCCAAATTACTATATCTACAGTTGAGAGATACAATAACTCAACTACACAATGGGAAGATCTACCGTCACTTCCAGAATCCAGAAGTGAAGCTGGTGTTGCTGTGTTGTAAATTATTAAGCACAAATTCATCGGCGTACATATATTTTTTAATTTTTTTAAAGAAATTTATGTATATTATTTATGTTTGTTGTTATTCTACAAAGTTCAAACAAGAACGCACACTTATTTGTTTTATACCTGGTCCTAATAATAAAAAAAACAATCAATTCAAAACATGAAACATTTATTAAATCATCAACATAATAGATAACACTGCAATCATCGGTTTTGTATATGATGTCGTTTTCTGTTTTTTCTACCATCTTCTAATCTCTTGCGCTTTCCACCGCTTTTCTTTTTTTCCCAATCAAGTTGTTTTGTTGAAGCATTGTCCCTTATTAATATGTCATCTCTTCCGCCAGATTTTTTTTTCCCAGCTGCATCCAACATTGCTGCAAACTTTTCTGCAGGCACAGCTAGATCTGCCAAGTTCTTAGATTTTCGTGGAACAGCAAAATCATCGTCGTCATCGTCGTCGTCACTTTCAGATTCTTCCTCGATGGGCTTCTTAACTCTTTTAGATTTTTCCTTCTCAAAACCACGTGAAAAATCATACTTTTTCTTTTTCTTAGCACCCATCATGCCATCTAATAACTCATTGAAATCATCACTGTTAACACTGTCAACATCACTAAAACCATCTTCATCAGGATTTTCAGCATGTTTTTTATTCTGTTTTGGTCTTTGTTTTAAGTATTTGTATAAGAATACTTCATCTAAGGGTATTTGTTTTTCTTCGTGTCTTAAATATTCTTCACTTACTACAGACATGCTTTTTAACCCTTTAGGGACATAGTGCTTTCGAGAAGTACCAACCGATCTAAATAGTTCTTCGTTTTCTTCACCCTCTCCTTCTCTTGGTTTTTTAGGGTTTTTAAATGAAAACCGATCAAGAAAATGTAATAAGGTAAAATCCGCTAGAGGATTGCCATCATAGTATATAGATTTACCAGATATTATTCTATTAGCAAAAGTTGCAACAGTAGGATGATAGTGTCGACATAAAGGAATAAGTTCAGCTAAAACTGCATGCTCACCTCCTGCATATCTTGGATTTCTAGCAGTATAATCATAGTAATTTAGAATTTCTCTTTCCTTGGGCCCTTGAGGTAGCTCAGGTTCTTTTACTACTTGAGGAGCTTTAACATGATACCAAGAAGATTTTAAATGTGTTTCAGTTGAATCTGTTAAATTGGATTGTACGTCAAAATATTTTTCTTCTTCGACTTCTTCATTTTTCATTGTATCATTTAAAATAGCCAATGGTTTTGGAGTAATATCAGTTGTAACATCTTCAAATATAGGTTTACCAATGATTCCTTTGTGTTTCTTCATTAATCGCGATGACATACAAAATATTCCAGCTATCATAGGAACTGGACAATATAAGCTCATTTGAAATATACGCTTCATAAAAGCCACCATACGTTCTGTACATTTATCATCCCAAATGGATTTGTGAATTAAGTGAATACATATAGCTTGATGTGACGTAGTGGTGAATCTCTCATCTAATATTTTTTTATATAGTGCACTATAGTACCTATCATTATTTTCCAATTGCCTGATTAATAACAAGGCTTGTAAAGATATGTTGAATGGCGCTAAATGAACAATCTTATACATAGTTTGTATTTGTTCTGGTTGAATACCACTTCTTACATGTGGATACGATTTATTGACACCAACCAGTAAAGCTCCGATGAGCCGTGAATCAATCGCTCCAGTTTTCACACACGCTTTAAAGAATGACAAGTAAAGTTCAATTACATCTTTAGCTATTTCTTTAGTGTCAATTTGGGTTAAAAAACAAATACCATAGTATTGAGCTCTTTGATTGATATTTGAACGAAATAGTAATTTTCTAACTTCTTCAAAAATAGTTAGATTGAGATTTGATCGATGTTTTAAAACAAGCCGCAATGTATACATAGCTTTTGATGCGACCTTATGTACTGTATCACCAAATTTATTCACGAGGTATTTAACGATCTGCATTTCACATTCAGTGCTATTAATTAATAATTTGTACATAGCTGTAATACTTTTTTCACGATTTACCGGTACAGAGTCTAAACCAACGGTGCTTAGAGCTTCGACAAAACTAGTATACAATTTTTTCAGTTTCTCTTCAAATAACCATGAGCTAAGCAACAGCTTACGTTGTTTCAAATCATCCACCTTTGACAACTCGCTCAACGGCTGGTGCTCAAAAGGTAACAGTTCGGTTTTCACCAATACCCTGGTGAACAATTCCGTTAAGGAATCAATGACGAGGGAACACTGTTGCTTTTTGCCAATTTTTACCATGTGCACGAGATTCTGCAATGCGGCGATGTTGTGCAATGGATCTTCTTGGATCTTTATGGTGAGCGCTGCGATTTTGTCCGAATACGTACCCTGTTTGGCAATTTCGGTAATCCATGATTTTTTTTGATCGGCCTGTGGCTGATGTTCCAATACTTTTTCCGCTTCGAATCGTAGGGCTTCGATTTCGGACGCCGAAAGTTTGGTGCAATTACCGAACGTCGGTAGGTTTTCATACCATTTCGGCAAATCGATGTCGTCGGCATCGGAGTCCGAATATAGCTGGTCATATCCGTCATCGCCTTCCAACTCGCTATCCGCCTCCGACGAACTCATATTTTTATCACGATCAACTACTAAAATTGTTTTTATTTTTCAATGTTTTGTAAATTTGTATTTTGTTGTAACTTGTAGATCCGCGATCGTATCCAATGTTTTCTAAATTTCAATATTGTTATTTGTTATCCGATTTTCAAAATCAAGCATGATTATTTTTTGGTTACTTTACAGTGAGACAACTTGAACAAAAAACTGAAAAAACAATAAGTGTTTTGTTGGATGATAAGAAACTTAAATGTTGATATATTTTGTGATAATATTCCGGTTTCTCACGTGGGTACTGAATACTGAGTACTGACACAGTACAACTTCTTACCGATTACTGAAAATTGAAATACTACATAATTGATATTTATTAATTTCATTATAAACAATTTAAACTTACAAACTGCAAAGTTTACTTTCTTACTTATTAATTATTATTATTGTGAGTTGGTAGGTACTATACATATATACATACAATGTTGTCTGTTTACGGATGATTGTTGACTGTTTGCCGTTTACATTTCTGTGTTGCGTCTGAAAGTGAAACAATCGCAATGGAAGACAATATAGTCGTGAAAAAAGTCGAAGGTGGAAGTATCATAAGTCATCCACCCCTGTTCTCTGAAAATGGGAGGTTAGTAAAAATTCATAATATTTATATTATATTGACTAGATAGTAACACGGTTTTACGTCGTACAGTGGACGTGGAATATTTTATCCATATGAAATCATTATCTTTTCGTGAATGGTTTTTAGTATTGAGGAAGGATATTTTAATTTAGGTATATAGAATTTGGGAAACAAAACTATGAATTTTGGGTAAGCACTTGATTGATGGCATTGCAATTTTAAATTTTAAATTAATAACAGTTAATGCAATATCAGGAGTAGATCTTGTTTAAGAGGTGGGTTAATTGATATATAAAGTACAATGAAGACATTGCCCCCCCCCCCATAAAAACGCGAATCTGCCCCTGTTCCACCATTCCAGGAAAATTTGGTAATGGTTAATTTTTGTCTAAAAACAAAAACAAATATCTTTCCGATGCTTATTTTTGTAAATTATCTAGATAATATAGACTACTGGGAAATATGAAAAACATCTGAAATACAATATTTTAAATGATGGCCTCCATGATTATCAATTTTCTATCTATAGATGTGCTGATTTTTAAAAAAAAAAATTGGAAGTCTCATAAGTAATTTCCTCTTTTCAGTTTGCCGATATAAATGTTTTTTTATTTATTCTATTTTAAGCTTTATTATAATTTGGTCAGTCTTACATATTTATGAGTAAACCAATAATATATTTTAGAAAATTATTTGATATTTCAAACTGTTTATTTCAATTTTATTTTTTAAATATTAATATAGAGTCATCTATGTGGGCTGTGGAGCAGATATCAATTGTTTTAGTGTGAGCTCTTCAAAGTTAGTAGCCAGTTACACTGCTGATCAAAACTTTGGTAGAATTGTTACTGTGTGTTTTCATCCTTCTGATGACAACTTTTGGTTGCTATTCACTTCAATGCTGTTATTGTTTTTTGGAATTTGATTGGAACCCAAGCTGCCAAACTTTCGAAACAACAAGTAATGATATTTAAGCTTAGTATCATAATATCAGTAATTACCATGTATTTTTTTTTTATTAGGAATTAGATTTAAAAAAATATAATGTAGTAAATGCAAAGTGCTTGTCAAGAAATTATAGCTCTTATGATGTGGATTGTATTGTTGTTTCATATAAATTACGAACAACTAATAGCAGTGATATAAATATTGGTTTATTTGCATTGGAGGAAGGGACACTTTTATACAAATTTGATGAAAAGTAACTTTTTGAACCATAAAAAAAAAAAAATCATATTTAATATATAATTATATTTTAGTTTGGAGAATTTGCCACATATTTGGTCAATAGGAGGTTTTGAAGACGTACCTTATTTGGCCTTTGCTCAAAAAAATATAATATATATTTATAATTTGTTAAATTATAAAAAAAATAAGTATGTTAACTATAAAAAAAATTTTTAAGAAAATATTAAGTCAATGTAATTAAATTACATTTATCTTTATAGAATTAAATTAGGGTCGGATAGAACGGTGACTGTCGTACAATGCCATCCTAATTCCAATACTCTAGCAATTGGAGATAACACAGGAAGAATTGTTTTGTATTATAATGTAATGCATAAAAATACAAGATCTCAAACTGTTTACCATTGGCACACACTTCCTGTAAATGATGTTCTATTTACAAGTAGTGGTGAGACAACTAAAATTGTTCGAAAAAAAAAAATAGTGATTTTAATATATATTTCATTGCAGGTAATAATTTTTATAGTGGAGGTGCTGAAAATGTCTTGGTCAAATGGTTTTGTGAAAATACAGAAACTAGACATTATTTACCAAGATTATCCGCCAATATTGTCCATTTATCTGTTACAGAAGATAACCAATATGTTGCTGTATCCACACAAAACAATAGTAATGCATTACAACCAAATATAATATATTATTAAATATAATTTTTAACTTATTTTTAAATAAAGACATCACAGTATATTTAATTTTAATTTTTTTAGGCATAATAATAGTGAACTCTCAAAATCGTATACATTCTGTCATACAGACTTTCACTTGGGGAGTGCATGCATCAAATGTAAATATTTTAATTAAATATTATTTTTTAAATATGTCTGTACTTTTAATTTATTTTAGGCTGATGAATTTGAAAAAGTCTTCCCAGCAGGTGTTGCATTCGACAGTCGTTCGAGATCACTTGTTACAAATGGTTTGCCGGGTCACATTCAATTTTTTTCACTTGACCAATCACAATTAGCATTCAATGTTAGTGTTTGTTCCTTTTAAGTATACTTGTAAGGAATTTTAATAAAATTTGTGTCTGTGTATTTATTTGGATAGTTGGATATTGTGTGTCAAAATTTTATGACCAGAACAAGAGACCAAGGTGTATTCAATGCTGATGTTTGTTTATTGGCAATAAGTGATGATAGTTCATGGCTAGCAACAGTTGAAAGAAGACCAATTGACGATAAATATGTAGTAGATGATGTTCTCAAATTCTGGACTTTTAATGAAAAATTGCAAATGTAATATACTTATATCATTTGTTTAAATTTGTTTGTAAATCAAATTTGTTTTTTTTTAGCTATAAATTAAATACCTACACTAGTTCTGTAGATAGAATTTCAAAGTTATGTTTTCGTCCATCAGTAGATTCGGACGGTTCACATATGGTTGCCACATTACACAAAGATGTGTATAAACTTTGGTCTCCATATAATTTATTAGAAGATGAAAAAAGTAAGTATGAAAATATATCTTGATATCTTGATTAATGTTGTAAAATTAAATATTAAAATGCTATGTTATATAATTTCCTACATTATAATTGATACAATTTTTATTTTACAATTATTAGATCCAATTAAATCATGGCAGCATGAGTACACAAGTAAGCTCTATCATAATCAACCGTTACATGCAATCAGTTTCTCTGAAGACGGTTGTATATTGGCAGCTGCTTTTGGACCAAGTATAGTTCTAAAAGTTCTTGATGACTCAGATGATTTCAAAACAAGTCTTACTCATGGTTTTGAACATATTAGGTAAACTTATTTAAATATAATCTTTAAATTATTGTTTATATTTTTATTTTACATGACTGATTAAAACACCAAAACTGAACGAACAGTAATTGAGTTAACAACCATAACCTAACCTAACCATGCTGATTTTTTGTGTTTTATTATTATTAGTTGTTTATATCTAATTATATTGAATTTTCTTGTATGAATATTAATATAAATACTTTTATTTTGATATGTATAGATTTTTAGAGTTTGGTAAAAACGCGAGCAGTTGGATGCTAGTTGCTGCATCAAGCACAAGACTTTTGGTATGGAATGTGCTTAGTGAGACATTACTGACAACTATTTGGGTTCAAGTTGAAAGATTAATTGCTGATCCAATGTCAGAATATATGGCTATTTTTACTGCTAATAATGATTGTTAGTAAACTGTGTTTTGCTTAAAGTTTCATATCTAACAATTATATTATTTATTTTTAGTATTTGTTTTCACTCCGAACAGCAGAAATGTAGTGTATAAAAAACAAAATATATTTGGAAACAATGACAAAAGTACTTCTATTTTGTGGGCAATATTTGCCCCAAAGTCGGATCATCAGAGTGGACAAAATATGTCGTGGTTGGATAACTCTACTCTCTACATGTTGACCAACCAACAAGTAATATATTATTTTATTTTATGCTCAATATTTTAATAATAAATAAATGTACTGATGATTCTAATCAATTTTAGGAACTTTTAAAGTTTGAGAAGACTGACACTCTCCAAAAAATGATTGAAGCTTTTGTGGATGATAATTTTACTAATCTGACCCCTCTAGGACGTATTATTTCTAACAAAGAAATTAGACATACCACCAATAATACAAATTATATGCCCGAGTTTGAAACATTAATTGATGAAGATAAATCAGCTTTTGAGGTAATTTTATTGTATTATTTACAAAATTTTAGCTTATATTTCATCATTTATTTTATTATTATTATAGATACTTGAAGAACCAGCACATTTAATGTTGCCATTAGAGAGTCAACTTGAACGTATTTTACTTGCGTGCTTAAAAACATAAGTAAGTTATATAAACAAAAAATATTATACATAAATTGTTTATAGAATGAAGTATAATTAAATATATTATAATATCAAAACAATTTTACTTGGTTTTACTGACAAAAAATAATTTATATTTAATTATGATATGAATTACATCATATTATTTTTATAATGTGACCTCAAAATATAAAACATGTGCATCTAAATCTTGTTCTGTCCTAAATCAAAAAATAGATGTTAGACATATATTATATTAGAAATGTTGTTATTCACCTACTATAAAATATAAAATATGTGCATCTAAATCTTGTTCTGTGCTAAATAAAAAATAGATGTTAGGTAT